GAGCGGGCGGCCGCGGAGGCTGCACCCGGCGGGGCGCTGATGCGGCGCCTGGACCTTCGCTGCGCGGCTTCGGGGGCGTCGGCCGAGCGGGCACTCCGCGATGCAGCTCCTGAAGGCGCTCTGGGCACTCGCAGGGGCCGCGCTCTGCTGCTTCCTCGTCCTGGTGATCCACGCGCAGTTCCTCAAAGAAGGTAAATGCACCCGCGCGCGGTCCCCGGCCCGTCCCCCGCGCGGGGCCGCGCGACCCCCGGCTCCCGGCGCTTTCCGCCGCCGTTCGGTCAGGCTCCGCGGGCGACCCTGCGGGGCGCCGCGGCTGGAGGCGCCAGCCTTCCTGGACTCGACCTGAGTCCCGGACCCGGATTCGGACCCGGCCCGGAAGGCGCCGCTCCGCGCCCGGCGGCGTTCCGGGAGGCGTTCGGGACGCGGATGTGGCGTGCGGCCCAGGCGCGCTGCGGCCTCGGTTCTTTCCCCGCCGCCCGGAGCCTGGTGCCTTGACCCGCATGGCTTGGTGGCCGCGGAGCTCACCCGCACGCCGCCGGCCCTCGGTAGATGGCACCCGCGCTCCACGTTGGCGAGCTGGGCTGGGGCGGGCTCTGAGCCAGCGGGGTTGGTGGGCGCGCGGCTGGGGCGTACGTATGGGTGTCACGGGCTGAGCTTGCCCCGCATTCCTCACCCCAGGACTTCTTCTGCCCTTGGTCGGGACGCTGGGCTCTGTTCAGGAGCCCAGGGCATTTACGGCCGCAGTGTCCGGGTCTCCCACCGAGTTCTGATCCTGTCCACACTGCAGGGATGTCTGGTCCCAGGTTATGGTTGTCGTGGAGGCGTGAATGGGGAGGGTTAGATCCTTGCGTTCAGAGGGATCCTTTGCCCGGTGAACCCTGTCCCCAGGGCTTGGTGTGGGGTGTGCCGGCAGATGCAGTTGGTGGGCACCCTGGGGACCCTGCTGGAAACTTCGCTGACTGGGCTGCCCTCAGGCAGGGTCAGGCACACCTCGGCTGGGCCCGTTCTGCCCGTGTGGACGGCAGGGACTGAAATGCCCACTTCCCAGCGTGGCACCCGCTGCCTGTGTGGACAGCACCCTTGCTCACAGCAGTGCCCGCACTGCCTGGTGTGGCCTCGGCCTGCCGAGCACGGCACTTCCTCCTCATTAGCTGTGGGTTCCTACAGAGGAAGGGCTTGCGACATTCAGCTCTGCTCCGCCTAATTAATGAGCTGCGGGTGCTTCCAGCAAGTAGTGCGTGAGCTCCGGGCCGTGCCCCTTGGCCTGTGCCCCTGCGCTGTGCTTCCAGGCCTTGCCTGTGTGTCTGTGCCCGCGGAGGAGGCTGCCGAGGTTACTGAGGGCCGGGCCTCCTCCTCCAGGGCTCCCTGGGCCCTCTGTGTAGTGGACGCCAGGCCTCTGCCCGCTCAGTGACCTACTTCAGCAGCTGTGCCTCTGCCCGTGGTGGTGGTCCCCCAGCTGGGCTGGCTCCTTCCCGCTAAGGACTCATCTCCTCCGGCTGCCCCAGAGGGCTGTCTTTTTCAGCCAGGGTCTGCTGGACGCCAGGCCGCAGGCGCTCAGTGGTGGGGTCCCTGTACTTCAGAGGCTGGTTTGGGCCTCGAGTCCTCAGTACGTTCTACGGCCTGCTCTTGTCTGGGGTGTTCTACTTTGCAAAGAGCAAGCTCGTCATCAAGTTTCGGTGCTTCTCCGAGGAAGTCAGATGTGGCGCCAGCGGATGGTGTTGTGTGATAGATGTGTGTTGGTGACCCAGGGAAAAACTGGCTGCGTGGGGGCAGGTGGCCCTGTGGTCCCTCCTCCCTGCCCTGTGGGCACCCGCCAGTCTGAGGTCGTCCGAAGCGCTGCCCTGGAGTCTGTGTCTGGTACAGAGCAAAGGTCCTGTCTTGTGTGTGGCCGGGTGTGAGGCACTGGAGCCAGCGTGTACTGGGGAGCAGCGTTCTTGAGGGTGGGCTGTGGCGCGCCCTGCATGGGGGCCCAGGCTTGCCGTGGGCAGACAGGTGCATGCCTGGGTCATAGAGAGCTTGGGCAGGTGCGGGCCTCTCCGGACAGCAGTCGGGGAAAGTCCAAGCCTGTTCACGCCCTCAGCCCTGCAAGCTCTGGTGTCCACACGGTGCCCGTCGCTCTGTTGTCGGCTTCCAGTGCCCTTGGCAGCCAGCGTCAGTCTGAAAGGCAGAGGAGGGGCAGCAGCCTGTCTTTGCTGAGTGCCCTCAGGGCCCTTGGGGCCAGCAGCCCTGGGGCAGATCCTGGGGTCTGGAGAGAGAGGCGGGGAGGTGGCTCTCAGGAGACACCCGCTGCCCAGGGGCCAGCAGGAGGGTGGGAGCCGGCAGCCAGGACCACTGTGACTTGTTGCCTGGGGTGGAGCGGGGAGGAGCTGTGAAATAGCCAGTTCCATGGATCTGGTTCTTCAGGGCAAAGAATGGGGTCCCAGGGAGCCGCTTTGTGCACACTGCCCCTTTTGTGTGGAGATACAGGCCACCCCGCGGCTAATCGGCCCCCTCTGGCTGGTCTGTCTCCCGGAGCAGGGAAGATGAATAGGGCTGTAAACCCAGAGGCGAATTGTGGTCCTAATTGCAACCTTGCCTTGCCCAGGCTCCATCAAAACAGGTCCTGGTGTGGCTGGCACAGGCATCCAGCCGGCTGGGAAAGTGCGGTCGCAGTGGGGGTCCAGGGGACAGGGGCCCCGAGCAGCACTGTCCTGCTGTCGGACCCCGGGGACATGCTCACTGTTCTTGGGGAGGGTGACGGCTCTCCGCTCCCGGAAGGACTGTGCAGACGCCAGGCGACTCTGAGGTGGCGAAGATGGGGGTAGGGTGGGCGCCTGGGGATGCTGCCTGCAAGCCAGTCTCGTCAGGAGGGAGCAGGGGACAAGTGAAGTCCGGGTGGGTGGGGTGGGGGTCGCCCGCCACGCAGGGTTATGGTAACAGCTGGGACGCACAGATTTCCACCGCCCCCCCCACACACTTTAACACCTTTGTCCTGAAGTCTTGGAGTCCTCTGTGCCAGGACCCTGTAGCTAAGCCTTGATGCGGCCCCTTCACGTGGCAGGAGGAATAGGAGCGTACTGAGAGAGCGGGCAACCGGGAGCCAGGCACCCCGCGCAGGCCGTGGTGGCCCAGGTTGTGGGTGTCGGGGGAGACAGGAAGGGCCAGGGGCTCACTGGCCAGACTTTTGTGTGTGCGGGGTCTTATCTGTGCTGTGGATTTGAGGTTTAACTGAAAATCCTTTGATGGCAGGGAGTGAGTTCCCCGGGCCAAGCGTGCTACTAGAAAGCCTCCTTAGCATGTTAATGCAGAGAGCTTGTGGGGAGATGAGCGTCTGCGTCCGGCCGCTCTGACAGTGTCCCTGCGTCTGATTCCTGGGCATTTTCTGAGTCGCTTTGGCCTGCCGGTCTTCAGCAGCTGCTCAGAGGGCAGACTGTTGATTGAGTAAACAGGATCCAACTTTCATTTATTTGGTGAGCTCACTGTTTTGGAAGAGAAGCATCAACTGCAAGCCTACGGGGCCGCGGGAACAGGGGCGCTTAACCCCGAGCCAGCATCTGGACGGTGCTAATGGAGATTCTGCGCGGTGACCTGTAATTGGTGCCACCTTACAAGATTGGCAGCCAGCGCCGAGCATTTAGATACTTGTTACCTGGGCCAGTTTAATTTTAAAATGCAGACAAAGGATTCTGGTGACATAGCGGAGTTCCTACCACTAAGAGCCTGTAAACAGTGCCCACTGAATGCAAAAAGAAACATTGCTGTTCTAAACATGTGTGCATCTTCCAGAGCCAGGCCTGGCAGTGGGCAGAGCCTTGTGCAGCACCCTCCAGGGCTGGGTGCGGGTTCAGGGAGCCTTGAGCCTGTTCAAAGCAGCCGGGCTGTCCTCGGTGGGGGCCCGAGGCTGCGCCAGCTCTTCAGATAGCAGCGGAGAGGAAGACAGGATGGCGCCAGGCCTGGGCCTGCAAGGAAGAGGGCATTCCAGCAGCCCTGCCTTCCACTCCACTCTCAGGTCCAGGTTGGACCCGGCGTCCTCTTCCTGCCCAGGCCGTGGGTTCCGCTTGGTGCTGGCAGGCTCTAAGCTGCAGAGGGAGGGGCCTCAGTCTTGCCCAGGGGTTCCCGCCGCTGCCTGCTGCTGGCTGCAGGGTCCTTTTGAGGACAGGGATGCTTAGGCAGCTTGGGCAGACGGGATGCGGTGCCCTGAGATAGCCTCTTCCTGACTGCAGACCATATGGAGAGGCCAGGGACGAGTGAATGGCCGCCAGGCAGGGGTGGCATTGGAAAGGCGTTAAAAATAACCAGCTCCTTTATCATCATTTACTATCACTTCTTGTGTGACACAGAATCTAAATAAAAACCCACACTCACCGTAATGGGATTCTCGTCGGCTGGGTGTGTGACAACTGTAAAAGTTAAATCATAAAGGGATTGGCAACGGAGGGGACGTCCAGACGCGCCACCCCGTGCAGCTCGCTGGAGGCGGGCGGCCGAGTGCCCAGCCTGCCAGCACAGGACGGGGAGGCTGCGAGGGGCCTGGGCTGCGCACGTGGGGATGTCCACGCACTCTGTGCCCCAGGCCGTTGTCCTGCAGCATTGGGGAGCCCCGTCCATCTCTGTCTTGTTTCCAGCGGAACTTGGAGTCTGGAAACCTTCCAGAGGAGGAAGTCGGTCCCTCACTGAGGCTCAGGACGCTGTGGTTTCTGCTGTCTCTGCGCTTTTAGCACTGTGCAGGGTCCCGGGGGAGCGGGCAGCAGAGGAGGTCCTGTCCCCGGCTCTGGAGGGGTGGCCACCGGGGGTGTCGAGGCAGGTGGTCAGAATGCTCGGTTGCTGATCTTTTTCTGTGTGTGTGTGTACACACGGTATTGCATGTAATTAAGTACTTGTAGGTGGTTATTCAGATGCGTGTGATCTACTTAAGCATATCAAATTTATGAGCTCCTATTATGAATTTGATTTAGAACATAGCTGCTTCATGAGGGGTCAGGGGCGCAAGTGACGGGTGCGCGTCCGTGTACCCTGGGCAGGTGTGGCATGTCAGGATGGGAGCCCGTGCGGGTGCACAGGGGAACCGTGAGGTGGGGAGTCGCCCCTAACACGTGGCTGCCGTCGGCCATGGTTGGCGCATGAGTTTGGGGCCGTGGGTCCCATCTGGGCTCATGGTGGGCACTGGGCTGCTGGGCGCCAGTCGGCCCTGGGCTCTAGGGCTGTTCTTTCC